TAGAGAATTAATGAAATTACATACTAAATCCCTTTGTTAGTGTAATATATCAAACATGGATAAATCAACACATATAGGTCTCCACTTACGGAAAAATGTTATGTCCCCTGGAAAATGGGTGGGGGCAGGAGATGAAGGCTTGAGGAGCTAGGTGGAAACATTCAATTAATTCAGCCTGTCCTGAGGTAGCAATGTGGATGCTATATCACTACACACACACACACACACACACACACATACAACCTCCCATCCTTAGTGGTAGCCTCTGAATCTGTGTTGATTTACCCCTTGGCTCTGGAAATGATTATTCACCTGAGCATTAAAGGTGATCACAGCTGTGAGGTGAACACTCACAAACACTTTAAATCAAAACCCATTTAACTCCAGCCACATTTGCCTTCTCATTCTTCAGCTAAGAGAACCTGTTTCCATGATGTTTGATTGCCATGCCTTTCTGCGTTTGCAATACAGATGTGTCTAAGCAATTTTTAATTACCCTTTTAATATATTATTTTATAATCAGATTTTTAAAGAATATGAACATGAATTTTTTCCTGTAAAACATTATCCGTTATTAGGCGACACAACCTCCATGTCCTTGTAATAATAATCACCCTTGACTTGACATTAGCCACTCCTCTCTACAGTTTTCTTTACTATCTTGGAAAAGTAACCATAAAGTGGTTATTGTTGCCTGTATTTTTAATTACTTTGTTGTCTCTTTGCTTTTATGAGTCAGCCAGACAACTTGTTCAATAGCCTTATGACTAATTTAGTGCCTTTGTTTCTACAAACAGCTGCACCAAAGAGCACCTAAATAAGATTGTTTCAGTGATACTTTAATGTGTTGCATTTGAAGTCTTTACTCCTTTGCTACAAACTGTGCTCACTGCTTAGCTTTGACCACAACTGAGTAAGATCACAGTGGGATTCATTCCTCTTCTTATTAGAAGTTTGTTCACCTCAAAATTGTTACAGTCAGCTAGACCATCTCTGCTTGCAAGGGTTCCAGCAAGAGCAGGTATGTAATGATATATATTAGACACATTCAGGGAATCCATGGTTCCTTTGAGCAATACTAGCTGTGAGCTATGTAGCAGTTACCCTCCATTTCATGAGGTCTATGATTTGGTTTTCTGTTGGTTTAGCCACCCTACAAGCTGAAGGTGGGTGGGGGTTGGAGGTGAAATGCCTGCAATGCTCCGGGCAGGTGCTTTGCCACTCAGCCCAGAGTGAATTTCTGTCCATACAGCTCAGTAATTCTTAAAATTGTGTGTCTGGTGAAAAGAAAATTTGGCTTGCCTCTGGCACTCTGAGATAGGTGTGGTGATACAAAACCAGGCTATCAGATGGTCAAACTGCCTGGGACCTTTTCTCCTGAATTTTGTTGCAGACTTTCACCCCAGCCTTCTCAAGCACAAGAAAGCTAGTATTTCCTGTTCAACAATTCTATTTAATGATTTAACTTGAGTGTGTACTCCAGGTACTAAGTATAAATTAATAAATCTTACTGCAGAAAATTATCTTTCTTCTTCGGCTAACTCTCAGTCAGACATTTTTAAACTCCAGACCATCTATCCCCTCTCACTCCTTCCTGGAGGTGAAAAACAGTAACAGTGCTCATGCTGGTATGTCAGAATAGCAAAAGCTACTTTGATGCTGAATTTGTTATACATGTGTTTGCATATTCTTGTGGCTGAAGAGGTACAGAAGGTCTCTTCTAGCTCAAACAGAGACAAACTGAGAATAACTACAAGGAAGAAAACAATAACAGTAAAAAGGAACAAAACCCACACACTTTCCTCTGAAGATTAAACAGATTAGCTACAGGTAAGAAAGAGCCAGACAAGAACTAGAACTCCCACACTGGTATGTTAGACTCATTATTTCTTATGTGAGTGAGTAATAATCTCTCCAATTGATGGATACGACAAAAGATGAAAGAGACAGAGCATTACAGTGTCAGCTCAACTGAGTAAGCAACCAATATTTGATAGGAGCTCACAGGGTGCTAATAAGTTTCATAAAACCAGGATGCAAGTGAGTGTGATAAAATAGAATAAAGAACAGAGAAAAAATTAGGAGGGTCATAATAAAGTCAAATAATTGTTTTTAGAAACAGCTAAAGCATGTCCTCCTAAGATATGGAGGGGCTGAAGGTGGAGAAAGGGTGGTTTGGACTTTTCTGATAATAGACATGTATGTATTAGTACAAAAAGACATAGAGATTTCCTTTGTACTCAGCCATCATTATTTGGATCACATCTCATGGGAAGCAGTAGGCCCTGAAAGAGATCCATAAGAAAGTATGAGTTTTGATCCTATTCATTGACTGATGAGGGCTGGGCTCTGGGAAGGGCCAAACAGGGTAAGAAAATCAGAGAACTTTCCTGGGAGTGGGAGAAAGAGAGAGACAGGTGACCAGAAAGAAAAGTGTCTGGTTACAAAGAAAACGCAGGAAAGCAAAGGAAATTTGAAACAGAAACAAGGCTGAGGAGAAAGGATAAAACCATTCCAAAGCCTTGCTCATTTTCCTGTCTGAACCACTAAGGGAATGTTCACCTGTAGCTTATTTACTCTGAATATAAAACCAAAGAAGATACAAGGAAACCCAGGTACCAGGAGGAGAACTATCTATATGGGAAGAGGGTCAGGGCAGATGTGTTTCATATTTTGTCTCACCCAGAGGAAAGTGCTGACTCAGATCAAGATTCTGACTCAGTATTCCCAAGATCCCTGCCACATCACCGTGTTGCGCTTTCAGAAATGCCCCTCAGAGAAATACATACAAGCACTCTGTCGTGGAAATGATAGATCACACTCACAAATAAGTAAAAAAGAAGTCTATCCAACATTAAAAGCATCCTCTTGAAAATTCTACTTCTCTATTGTCAGTCATCTTCTCACAAGTTCAGAAAGTTTATCAGTAAAGCCCCTTTAAAACAGAAAATGGCCAAGCAAAATTGAGAATCTGTGAATTGATGCTGTACATGGTCTAAGAAAATTTAAAAAATGTGAAATGAGTGCTATATGAATTTAAAAGTGTGCCTAGAGCTATTAAAAATTGTGGAAGAAGGACAGACCTTCAGATTAGAGTTATTCCTTAAGTTTAGTCAGAGTCTAGAGACCAGATATCTCTTCTCATGTCCTCCAAAAGTGCCTCTGGTTTGAAACAGAGCTTTTAGTGAGTGGCTTCCATGAGTAGTCAAACACCATTTTTGTAAAAAGTGCAAATGGAATTATATTTGTGGTTGTAACTTCTTTTTTTTAAGGTTGGTTGGTTGGTTTGTTTGTTTTAATGACATGTGACATGCTTATTGGGGAGCAACTTCTATCACTGGACAGAAACTACTTAGCTGAAGTGATTTTTACTCTTCATCTAAGACTTTGTTTTTCTCTATGCAGGTTAAAAGGTACCTATTTTGTCCATCTGTGTGTAGCTTATTTTGGAGATAGAGGCACGAATGCATGAGAATTTCTTCTTTTAATTGCTATTCTTTCCCTACAGTGTGTTCATTAGCATTTGTGCAGTTGGTCTACACATAATTTTAGAATTCATAAGAACTGTCTGAAAATGAAGAGCTAGCTTACTAAGATCAGTTCAAAGTTTTAAAATGAATAATTTTTTCCATTTATATCCTTGCAACTAGCCACCTGTGATAAACACCATCTGAAAACCACATCATTTTTTGCAGCACTCAATAAGCAAATGATTTTTACAAAGTCTATGGCAAAAAAATCCCCAGTTGTTAGACAGGCAACATGAAGCTCACCAGCTGGACTTTCATCAGGACTTTCACCACTGTGTGTTTGCTTCAGATAAAAAAATCTGAACAATTTTTTATTCATTCATGATTTTTATTAAACTGCTCTGTTAATCTACAAAGAGAACAAGCACATGAATGACATAGGGTAGTTGACAGCATTTTATGTATTTTCTACAAATCTCTGAAAAGTACTGTATGTATTTTAAATTAATAGTTTACTGGTATTTGATGTAATTTGAGAATTTTGTCATTTATCAATAAATTATGACCTTTCTATAAATTCACAGCCATTTTATTCCACATATTCTGCTGGGCTAAATGTGGGAAAGGACTTTAGCACATTTATTTGTAATCAAAACCAAAACAGTTTAGCCTTACAGTAAGTAATCAAATCTTTCTATCATTGAATGAAAGATGTTCCCTGAGTATCTGGAGTGACCAAAAGAGAAGCATGGTTCAGGAACCAAAAGCCTGTAAGGGTGGACTATCCAAACTAAGTAGAGCCTATGGTGTGTGGAGGGTTTCTGATGATGTGAAATAACTCACATTCTTCATACTTCCCGAGGTTGCATATCAGGTTCAAATGTGAAGGAATTTTGAGACCATTTAGGGAAGATAAGAATATTCTCAGCAAATAATGTGAACACTGGTAGTTGTTTTTTATACAAATTCATGAAAGTGCAGGCTCTATTCTAAATTCTCAACCTTTTCTATGCTTTTTCATTTGTTAGAGTCATTTGTCTGGGCACACCACTCAAGATATGATTTTTTTTTTAATGCACTTTATATTGATATCCAGAATCAAGTTTCCCAATTCAATTCACTTTTAAATCAAAAGCAATCTTTCCATTGACTTTTGCAAATTTTTTAATCAATCAACCTTTAACAAAAACCTCAAGCAGCACCAGCTGCACAAGGAATTATATACTGCAATAAAGAACTGCACATGATTATTGCAACAAATTGGGTAAGACTGAGTTCTGTAGCATTTGTTTAGCCTGGTAGCCAAATTTTCAGTGTAGGTATTTCAAACTCAATTTAGCATAGTCGTTCATTGAAATAGTGTAGTCATGTAAATACAGTTCAGGTGGGAAGGAAATAAATTTTAGTTGATTGAACAGCATTATTTGCATAATGTCTCTGTTCAATGGTCCTTCTAAAGGTGAAGCTAAAATGGAAAGTCTAAATTTGTTCTTGTAAGAACATAAATCATTGACATCTACAGTTTTTAAGGATGCAACTAGAAATCTGTGGTGGAGGACACAGGATGATAACGTAGGGAAACACGAAGTGGACTGAGGACAATTGTGCATGCCCCAGAGGGAGAGCTGCCAGTGAGCAACATCTGTTGTTTGACCTTCAGGAGCCTATAAGAAAGGTGGGAGGAAGGGGGGGGAAGCGGAATTTCCTTACCTCTAGTGACATTAACGGTCTGAGGATAAAATAAAATTGTGAATTGTGGAATGACTTTCCTTCTGTGTCATTGGCTTTGGGTTTACTGTATATGACGATACACTTCTCAAGAATAGAAGCGGTTATGCATATAGATATATTTTATTGAATCTTGTTTGATAGCATAAATCCAACCTGTGAAGAAGTACTGAGTGTCACTTATTCCTGTTAAACTCACAACCCTGAGTTGACTTAGAGACCAGGTTTATCTGACTGGTGCCTTTCTGTTTTGTAAGGTCAAGGTCATCTCTGACCAGTGATTTAGGGGGAAATCTCGCTAATTACACATTTGCTTGAGAGGTAGCAGTGAGTATGGAGTGATGCAGGAGGTTCCTTTCCTCTTTGTGTGACAGGAAATGGAGCCCTCTTTGATTTTAGTTTTCCTCTGGATGATGTGACCACCATACAGACTCAACCGATTTTGCCATGGATCAAGGGATTACTCTCTTTATTTCTGCAGGTAACTTTTTGGCATACATCTTCCTTATTGCTTGTTAGGAAGACTTTGCTTACTGTGGGTGGACACTCTGGTAAGAAAAGAGTGAAAGAGGAAGCCGGAAGACAGTTGGCCTTCTTTTGCTATCTTGCATCAGTGCCAACTGCTACATAACACACCCAGAAGTCATATTTGTTGCTGTTACTAGGCCATCATGCTGCTCCTCACCTACTTCAGCAGCCTCCTGAATCCCATGCATTGCAGAAGTTGCTGTTGTCACTTCTATGCCCCACACAAGACAGCAAAGAGGTGAGAGGTTTTGTATTATTTGCTATTTTGGGCTGAAAATCCTGCACTTGTCTGCCAGGTTTAGATTTTTCCACCTCCAGACCTTTGTAGACTTTTTTATTATTCCATATTCCCATTGACAAAAAATAATCCCATGGTCACTCCTGGACTAGTGGAGGAAGATAATGGCAAGGACAGATTTAAGATGACAACCTTCACCCTGGAGTCCTACAGGACTCAAGGGCAAAACAGACAAAATAGAGACTTCCAGGGGTGCATGATACCACCTGCTCTTGAGTTTGCCCCTACATGAGGGATGCACAAAGGGGGATTATTGGCTCTTAATTTTCTGAAAGGCCCCAGGAGAACCCCAGAAAACTGCAAACCAGTAATGCTGACATCCCTACCACACAATTCCCAGACAGATTGGGCCCATGGATAAATGTGGTGCAAAAGAAAATAATAAATATGGCATTTGTGACAGGATATACCACACTTTTTTGTTACACAAGAGTTTACTGAAGAGTTGATGAATACAGACAAGGGGGAGCCAAAACACTACCATGTCTTTGAAGCTTCAAAAGAGTCTCTGATGAGTCTCACTGTAAAGCTACAAAAGAAGTTAAGCTATTACATTATCAGGAATTCCTCACATAAATATGCAACTGGTTAAAATATAAGAAAAAAAGAACAGTTAATAGTTTTTGCAGTTAAGTGGGTTCAGTCATGAAAGGGCTTGCCTGTGGCCTGTGCCAATGGTCAGGCATTGGAATAGGCTACACAGGATGGTGGGATCACCATCCTTGGAACCTTTCCAAAGGCATGTGGATGTGGCACTTGGGAATATGGTTTAGGGGTGAACACAGTGGTGATGGGTTAACATGTCTTTTCTATGATTTAAAATGTAGACATCAGCAATTTGAGAAAAAGGGAAAGCTGTGAAATAATTAAGGTTGCTGAAGTACTAAATTAATATTATTCATATTCACAATAAAGTTTGTTGATATTATATATGAGCTATTAATATTCATAACTAAGTTTACTGACGTACTAAGTTATGCAGGATACAGAGAAGAGATCCACCTGCAAAGAACTATTTAAGGACTTCGAAATATAGAGTGACAAGGTGATAAAATGGCAGATTAAAATCAGTACTGATAATATGGAAGAATAGAGAGTAAGGACAGAATCAATTTGCTGCACAAGTGATGCGTAAAACACAGTGACATGCTCAGACAATTCTGTCTTTCCTTTTGAATTTTCCCCTTTCTAGTTTTAACTACTAAGTGGGAGATAATATCTTTTTACTCCCTAGCATGTGCATTTATTAACCCACTCAGATTGTGTAGCTGGAAAATATTGTGCTGACCTTCAATAAAAAATGTCCAAAGTCTCTGCTATGCTTTTTCTTGTAAATATTTATGGTAACCATTAAAATTCTTTTCACACTTAAATTTAGCTTAGCTGCAAGTGCCTTCCTCACTTGGATATAGTGAGGAATGGCACACAAAATGAGATCCAGGACCCTGGTGAAAGTGAGAGAAGAGATGACAAGTTTTCATGTTACAAGTGATTTGCCTAATTTGTATGGTGCACAACTGGATATCATACAGAAAAGGTATGGTATGGGAGGGAAGGGGAGGGCAAAGGATGGGGAAGGGATAGGATGGGGTGGGGTGGGGTGGGATGGGATGGGGAGAGCGGAGGGGATGGGGATGGGGATGGGATGGGAAAGGGACAGGATAGGATGGGGAGGCAAGGAGAGGGTGGAAGAGGAGGGAAGGGGAGGGGAAACAAGGAGAGGGGAGGAGATGGAAAAATGTGGTCTTGTGGAGGTTGATTTTTATGATATTCTTCTCTAGCACTGTTATCACAGTAGTGGAGCAAAGTGAGAAATGTTCAGCAGTTAATCTTAAGCACCCTGTAGAAATAGGTTGCACAGACTTACACTGGGTAGAGAAAAGTCAGGTCAATATAAGAAACTAATTATTTAGGTTTCTTTGAATGATTGGTTGACTGGGGCAGCACTGGTGAATCTGCACTGTCTGGTGTCAGGTTTAACACAAAAGGTTTAAAGATGTTTAAAAAAAATTCCAGTTGGGAATAAGGATTCTTTGGAGGAAAAGAAGAAAATATCCAACCAATCAACTAAACAAACAAAAAAACCCCAAACCAAAAAACTACTGAGAGTGTACAAACACATTTTGTCAGCATTGGCAGCTGCCAGTCCACCTCTGCACTGCTCATTCCTTCCCTACTTCTCTGCTTCCAAGAACTAGCATGGGAGGAAGCTGGGAAATTGTGTGACTGAGCAATAAACTCCCCCCCAAAACAGCTGTTGTTTTGAACCAGGGCCCTGCCCTGCCCTCCCCTGCCCTTCCCAAACCTTCCTAAACCTTCCCTTCCTAAACCTTCCCTTTCCCTTTCTCTTTCTTGTTTTTTTCTTTCACTTCTTAATTTTCTTTCTTTTCTTTTTATATATATTTTTTTTTAACAGAATTTGCTACAGCTGGCTGTGTGTCCCCAGAGGACAGTTAGTCTCTTAATACCTCATGAAAGAGCATGAGCACAGAAGGACACCTTGCTTATGTTAAATGCTTACTGAGGCTTCTCATGGTTAGTCCTGGAAGAGGAGAAATCCCACAGAGTTATCTCACTTGCATCTCACATGCATGTCTGTGATGAACATGAACAAGAACAGCTGTTTCCTTCAAAACCAGTTCAAGTCTCTAGGGTTACTGAGTCACTTTGTTACAACTGTCAAATGAGAATATGGATGAAGGTATCTTACAACAAAGGAGACAGCTGGGCCCATGGGAGTAAGAAGGGCTGCAACAATTACAACTAAACTTGTTGGACTTACTCTTACTAAACTTGGGCTTGATAGGGTGCTATTTCTGGAATTTGCTGATTCAAGTTTGGGAGGTAGTTGGAAGTCTCATGTTGGCAACAATGTCAAGGAAAATCTGCCCCATTCCCAGTCAGCCCAGCCAGTCTGCCCCAGATAATTTGCCTGGTAAATCTCTGATGACCTGAGAATTTGGAAACCCAAACCCAAGCCTGTGAGAGTGGACAAAGCCCAAGGAACCCCAGCTTGTACCACTCTCAAAGAGCCCGGCATATGGGCTAATCTCAGTCTAGGCTCCACACCTTTGACTTGCAGAGAAATTTGGAAGTGTCTTTTATTTTACATCAGAGTAGCAACAAATTTGAAATGATCAATGCCTTCTTATAAGCAAAATGATGTTTCTTTATCCAGATACAAGTAAAACTTGGGAATATGAGACCCTTCTGCCAGGTTTCTTTAAAAACATTATCTATTACCAAATCTTGGACAGGCAGGAGGAAACAAAATGTGCTTTATATATCTGGGCAGGACCATCTTTTGTGACAATGTAGAGCAAGATTAGCATTTTACTTTTCACGGAGATTATGGTGAACAAACATGCAAGCACACTCTAATTATTTATTTATATATATATGTATTTATTCTTTCATTATTTAAAATCCAAATTTCAAGAAGTTTCTATTGAGAAATCCAAAATTTTTAATAATACTCCAGTACAAAAATATAGTCCTTAGGATAAAAACTTCCATACTACTACCTCCAAATAAATAAAATTACATCAGACACATTTAAATTATTCAGTGTAAAAAAAAACCAGCATTTTTTTTTAAAACCAGCATTTTAAGTTAAGTCAGTGCAGTACAGTTAGTCACAATCCCTTGCGGTGTTAAGTAGACTGGCATCCTGGTAACTTCAGTGCATAACAATAGTAAATACCAGCAATTAATCATCAATACTCTCCTTCAGAAACGTGCGTCAGCATTTGCTTATCTTTAAACATGTTTGTTTGCTTGATTTAGATTTAGACATGTTTAGTAGTAAACAGACATGAATATGTTTTTCTGAGTACAGTAACTTCCCCCTATTGGTGCTTGTATCTGCATGCCAAATAGACGAATGATAAGACTAATCTTTTAACAACCCTCTCTAAAAACAGCACCAGATGGAAAGCTGGGTACTGTATCATGTAATTTCAAGATTTCCATATGGAACCTGGGTAAGTATTGTCTCATTCTGTATTTTCAGGTCAACAAACATATAAAAAATAGACAGAATTTTAAGACAAAGTTATTTCTAACATAGTAGTAGGGCATATAAATACTTTGATCAGTATTTCTTTATAAATAATTATTTAAAATACTTAAATATTAATAAATAAATGTATAAAAATTCAATAGAAACCTTAAAATAAAAAAAAAGATGTGTCACAAAAAGATTTGCACAGTAACTCAGTACAAAAGAACATAAGATGGCATTAGCATTTGCACTGCCTCTGAACCAGGCTTCTTTTTCTTCCATAAGAACTTGTAGTATCCCCCAGTTTTTGTAAGACACTGAACAGCTCATTCACAGCTTTACGCTGAATTTTTGAGTCATTCACCTGTTAAAAGTAAAAAACAAATGGAACGAAAGTTATATCAAGAGCTATAATCATTTACTGATCACATCCCACAGGCTACCCTGCCACCAGAGTAAAACTGATGGACATCTGCAGTTTTCAATTACTCATCTACCTAATTCCTACAGCAAAGACCCACTTTGTCACAGATTTTTGCTTTTCACTTTCTGTGCTACCTTGCAACATGCCACAGACCAACCATATTCTGTGAAACGGAGCTACTCTGTAGTTACAAGCAGCTAACTCCACTGGGGTATTGTCTGCAGACCTCTGCAGAGGTCAGTGGTTTGTGCCATTGGCACTCACTCAATAAGCCAAGTGCTTCCAAAGCCATAGAGCATGCCCCAGCTGGGCACAACTTTCCCACCCAGTTTCTAAACCACAAAGGTTCTGTCAGTGTCAGCTCTGGTGTGCAGACTGAGTGGAGGTGCTGTCAGCACCTTTCTGCCAAACTCCAGCAAGACTCAGGGGTCTACCCCACACCGTAGACATGCAGCAGCCCTTGCAGCTGGAAACATTAGGTTTCCCAGTGTGAAGTGAGCTAGACAAGTGTTACCATATGGGTTGCTGAAGCACTATTGGCTTGAATCACACTCAAATCACAACTGGAAAATATAACGTGATGAGCCTTGGAGACAAAGGGAGAGCCTTACCTGAAGCTCTGTCAGGTTCTTGAGATATTCCATCTTCTTTGAGTCATCAGAAAGGCTTTCTTTCAAAGTGTAAAGCTCCTCAGATATGTTCCTGACATGTGCCTTTGACTTGTCAGTGTTTTCAAGGATTTTCAAGTACATGGAAACAATCTGACTCAGGATGATCCTTTTTTCATTTCTCTGTTGAAAAATACAATCAGAAGGGAAGGTCTGTGAGTGCTCATCAGTAGGAAAATGAATGAAGATAAAACACAGCATGCAGGGGTTCTCACTGCCACTTGAAACAAGATGATAAAGAAGATGTAAATCACCCCCGGGTTTGTCTGTATCGCAGATCATTTCATGGTGCAGTACAAAGCACCTTGACCCTTATGGGAAGCATTTTTATGGGGATATTTTTCTCATTTCCATATTACCAAAGGGAACTCTGCTCATGCTCATTCTACCGCAGCTAATTACACTGGTTCTAGGAGCTGCTTTGTACCAAAAGAACCCTGCAAAGTGCCTAAGATGCTTTTTCATATCTGTTTCTGACTCACTTCCGTCCAGTTTGACAATTTCTCCGTAAAGATAGATCCACCATCACCTACATCTGAACGGCTTGAGTTCTGCAACAAAGAACAAACATATCTGTTATACAAACAATACTTATCACTAGACAAATTTCTGTTCTCTAATCAAATAAGCAGTAAAATCCAGATTTTTGTACCACTGGCCTATAGCTATCACAATGCTTTCATTCTCTAAGCACCAAATCCCATTGCATGGCTGTCTAGTATCAGAAATGGCATTAGTCTGCTTTTCAATGCTTCTTCTGCTATAGCTTACCTAAACAGAGATGTTGAACACATCTGTTTTCCCAAATGCTTTTGCTATCGACAGATGAAAATAAAAGCTCATAAACACAGCAACTGGCTAGAAAATCATTAGGCCTGAACTTGGCATGTCTTCTGGTAAGTCAAAGTCCAGCAGTATGTAGTCATCTGTGGCCTTAAATTCATCCAGTCTTAGTAAAATCTCATATGAAAAAAGAACAAACTAATTTTGCTAAAAAACTATAGTTTATAGAACTGGCGAATAGGCCAGTAGCCCACAATCAGGCATGAGTATATGCAAGATTAGTGGGCTACTGAGAACCTCATAGGGACAGCGTTTAACCATCTGATGTCAGCCACACACTGTGTCAGATTCTAGGAAACAAAGAGCAATACAATTCTCCTACAAAGGAAAGGCAAATTGAATCACTTCCTCTTCTGTGTCTTTTCTTTATTTTTTCTTTTTGTATACAACAGTGACTATTTCCATCTTTTGTCTGCTTAGTAATTAAATACAGTGAGTGCAAAGGGAAAACTTGCAGGCTGACAGAAACCCTCTAGCCTGATTGGCTCCCCATGCTGACCACACTGCCAAACTTTGTTTTGTTCTTCGGAAAAGTGGTAAGCACTTGCTGTGAACTAGAGTTTTAATGTCAGTGCAAAAACCTCACCACAGCTCAGGATGTCTTCAACAGATATATATATATATCCTAGTGAGACTCTCTCTGGTCTTTGCTAATAACAAATTTAAGATATTATAAATTTTACATCCACTTTCCAAACAATCTGCAAACACTGAAGTATCACGCTAGTCTTCACCACTTCAGAGTGGTTCTTTGACTACTGAATTTCAACTGTCATTTGCACAAAATTATGACAAAATCATAGCTGAAAATAGCAGCAGAGTGTTGCAGTTGCTTTCATGCATTTAAGGAAAAAACCCAACAAAATATATGGAGAATAAAAGCTGTTAATTAGAAGTAACTCCGTTATAGATCTGCTATCTCTATGACTAATCCCAGCTGAATTCAACTGTGAACTACTTTAATGCCTCCTAGATGTACTTTAATGCCTCCTAGATGAAGGCTGGTGAATTAACATTACAGTTATCAAGTTACCAAAACTCTACCTGAAAAGAAAGAATATCATGCCAGATTACATTCCTATGCCAGATCATAGTCACAGATGTGGAACTGGAATGACTGGAAGATGCAAAAGAATAAGAAGTAGGAAGCACCTTTGGGCAATACACTACTGCTACTAATAATAAGTAACAAAAGTGCATTTGTTAAAGCAAAAGTTCATCTCCATTTTTTTTATATTGCTAACTAATACTAAACCCCCCAATAACATTGCTAACATAAAATTTAAAGTCAATAAATTACATCTAGTCTGAATTAAAGAAATATTCATACATTCTCCAAACATTGCATTAAGATTTCTTGCTATAAAATATTCCATATAATCAATGATTACCCTCTATTGGGACATACCGAGTATGTCAAGCAGTGCTCCAGTTTAGATGATATGTAAAGCACAAGCAGAACGAGAAGAGAAAGCAGTGGAAAACTATACTTACAAAATCAGCTTTCAGTTTGTCTATATCATCTTGAAGTTGAAGCAGATTTAATCTATTTTCAACAAGTCCAGAATAAATCATGATGATAGACAGAACAAACAAGCTGTAGGTTTGGAAAGTCATTTTCTTGGTGATGGTTCAGTTAAATGGCTCAGATAAGTTCTGGGAGATGTCAGTTCTAAGAGCAGTGTACTTCAACTTCTAATAGTTAAGCCTTCTATTAGAAGAAAGTAGACGAATGAACTTCATCTGCCTGTCAGTGGTATTTATACCTGGTCTAGAAATTTTTTTATTTCGTCATCACAGGCTGTGTATATTTAGACAAGATAGTGTTAGATAAGAACCCTTCATTTTTGGCTGAACAAGGGAATCCCTCGAAAGCATCTTTGTTAAAGCATGGTCCTGGAAAAAATTTCAGTGGTTCGTCAATGGGTAACATTTACGTGGCAGATTCTGAAGTTTCTTTTACACGTGGTTGGGGAAAGGGGGGAAATTATGGTACTGATAGAGTAGTATGCATTGTGGCTCAAGCATATTCATACATGCTATCTGAAAAAAAAAATCGTATGTTGTGGTTAAAGGGTCAGTATAACAGTCAACTCATTTCTGGTATTCTTTTAAAGTAACCACTGAGATTGCCATGGCATTCTTCAGAGTCACTTAGAGATTTAAACACTCTTCCTACTGTTGTCCTTTTGGAAACACTGTTTGCATTCTTTCCATGGTCTAAAATGTATTTCTGCTGCTTTCTCATTCTTCATCTCCAGATTCAAAATAAACTCAGGGGAAATGAAGTTCTAGCATGGATGAAATTATGTGTCATATTAAATTCCTCTATGGTTGTCTACTCTGGGAGAATATTTAGTACTTAAGACATTAATTTCTGCTTGGTAATAATAAAGTTCCCCACCTTCCCATTCATTTACACTAATGTGTGTAGGATATAAAAGACATGGAAGAAATAAGCCCAGGTGAAGAAGACAGACAGGATAATCTCCTCGTGCATACAGAACCCTGAAACAACTGTATTAATGATAGCTGAGGAAAATGTTTTTATATGTTTAAATGCTGCTTTGATGGATATAATCAGATAAGAGCTTACTCTGAAGAGTCTTATGAACAAATCAGATAATTTTAGGCTGTAGTATATTAATGCAGGGTAGGCAGGAGCATAAAAGAGAAAGAAAGAAGGAACCTACAGGGGAAAAGAAAAAAAAGTAGACCAGGAAGAGGGCACTTGCAGGCTCAGTTCATACAGGTGAAGTGAAAGATGTCTGTAGTTCGTAAGAAACAGATGAGAATTAAACTGGCCCCCAACAGATATGTTTGAACTCTTCAGCACAGTTCTACATGGCTCTTAGGTATTCCTTGCAAGAAACTCTGCTGTTCCCCAGCAACTCCTCCTATTTCAGCAAATGACCACTAATGCCATTAAATATTTTTCATCTGCAGTTTGAAAGAGGACTTCCATCTGTGGAAGAGATCTAGGCTACTAGAACCATTGCCAACAGGGAATTGCCATTTTACAGGGACAAGAATCAAATTTCACCAACAATCGCAGGCCCAAAAGCTGAATGCTACGTCTCTCTGGGAACAGCAGCATAGACAGATGGGACATATCTCACAACAGGTACAGTGGTACTGCACAACAATTAGGACTGTAATCTGCTTGGGATAGTAGCACTATGCAACACATATCTTGGTTTTAGTTTAAGAAGTTAAAACTGATTAAGCAATAACTTGATTGCTGGAAGTGTTGACATGAAGGTAAGGTAATAATTCAAGGATGCTTCAAAGATCTGTAAATAAATGCAAAGTTAACATGCCCACCCATGGCAGAGGGGTTGAACTAGATGATCTTCAAAAGTTCCTTCCAACTCAAACCATTTTGATTTTATCATTCTATGCTAGAAATCAGAATCATAGAATCATTTAGTTTGGAAAAGACCCTTAAATCATTGAGTGCAATTGCTAATCTAGCACTACTAAGTCCATCACTAAACCAAGTTCCCAAGCACCACATCTACATGTCTTTTAAATACCTCCAAGGATGGCTATAAAATGGTGGTCCCACCAAGATTCGAAGTGGACTTACAGTTCAAATTGAACTCACAAACATCAGCACACTGAACAGACCTACAGGTAATGTTGAAACATCTGGATTAGTATGCAAGGCAAGCAGAGTCAAATGACATATTATGGCACAGCTACGTGTAGTTTCATATATACAGAAAAATAAAGCTTATTTTACAAGATGGGGCACATACTGAGGTTCAGTGACTGGCCACGAGTCTATAGAGTAATTCTTTGGCAAAGTGTTGGGAGACGTGTTAAGAGGCAGAGGGAAACTGATTCTAGTTACATATGGCACTCTTTATGCTGTCAGAAACACACGGCTAGAAGGGAGACTGGGTCATCAAGCCCAATTTTTGCCTAATTTGGCAGAAAGGGCTCAATTTGAGCAGTGCTTTTATGCTGAATTACTGGAGACTGTGTAAAGGAGAGCTGCAAGCAGGGAGTTTGGGAAGAGATTCATTACTCAAACACCTCGATCTTCTTAACATGTTGAGGACAAAACACAACACAACTGAACACAATGAATTGCTGTAATTACCCAACCAGGCAGAAGATTCCAGGAACTGATATATTAAGTCAGTAATACAGCCCTCTACAGAGAACTATTCGCCTAGAGTGACTGTGCTGGATTAGACTGCCCGGCTAAATCTGTCAGACATGCATCTCATCCAGAGCAGGTTGTATCTCCCAAGTGACCCCTCTTTCATCTGACACTGCTACTAAACTTCTAAGAATAACAGGGGGGTGAAGTATCAGAAAGAAATTATTTTTCCAACTCAGCTTTTGTAGATGCTGAGTTTTGGGGGCTTATATGGCTAATTCAATCACTAAATCTCCTCACATTTCAGGAGGCCACTGCCATGGATCCAATTTTGCAGGTAAGAAAATAGAAGGACAGAGCAATGGTATCATTCATGATCATTCAACATCTAAGAAAGGCAAATCTAGGAACAAAATAGGGTGTCCCAGTCCCATTCTGGTCCTTTGCCCACTCTGCAGTGCTACAAGTATTATATCATAAACTGAGGCAAGAAATTAAGCAAAGAACAAAGAAAGCCATGACATCAAGCTCTGTCACACTATCTTCTGAGTGCAGGTCAGACTTCTAGGTACACTCTCCTGCCTGTAGAGGCTACATTCAGGCCTTTTACTTATCTCCACATTCAAATTATCACATAAAGTATTGAATGTTCTGTGATAAATCATCAGCTGGACAGAAATGTATTTTAATAGAGAAATTTAGGATCCCTTTTCCAAATCCCTTACATCTGAATAAATGGTATCATGTTAATGTTGACATATTTGTCCCATAAGGTTCTCTCCTGTTGACACACAATAGCACATCTCTGCAAATCATTTTGAAATTAGGCAACAGCCTAGAGCAGACGGTCAGAACATGAGAGTCCTTGAGTCCTACGGGTCCTATGCATCTTCCAACCCTGTTTTGTTACCTATTCCACCCAGAAGTGATAAACCAGGTCACCATTGCCCTGTGTATGTTTTGTTGCCCAAGAACTGTGAAGTGTCAGATTGAAGAGAAGGCCCAGGTTTAGATGGCTCCTCTGCTCTGCCTTTCCTGAGAATAAATGGGGTTAAAAACAACACAGGGGAGGATCCTGAAAATATCTACCCTTTATGACACAAAGCCAAGGGTGTAAGAGTTTCCAGTATTTTATTTGTGCTCCTTAGCAGATATCTACTGAGTGTATGCTGGAGAGGATTGAATACCCAGCACTAACACAAGCTCTTTGTCTGAGCACTACTCCTAATCTAGCTGAAAGAGATGTCTGAATAGTATTGAAAAGTCCTGTGTTGCATAGAATTGACGTGGTCCTCATGTATGACTCCATGCTCACAGCTGGACCATCATCTCTTCCAAACACAGCATGAAATGAAACTAAGGCATTTTTTTCATTTTTCTGCCTGGAAGTCATCCGACTCTTCATGCAAAGCAGAGGTTTCACACCCTTCTGTTCATACAACACCTTAAACCAAATACCCAATGATGGCCTTACAAAGTCATGTCAGATTTCACCACGACCACTGATTACAGCTTTTTCCCTTTTGTTTTTTGTTTTATGCATACTCCTCAGGGTGCTGGCAGAGTTGTTAGTAAGCAACTGCCCATGCTAGTTCAGCAGAACCCCACCAGACTTTTATTTCTCTAAAATTTAGTGACTTCCTCTATTACCACTGCCCAAAGGAAGCAGCTCATGGTTGGAAAACCCTCTCTGAGTTGTTCTGACTTTATATCACACTTCACCTCTTAGTCTCCCTTTCTCATAAAGCAACAAACTCCTTTGGTTCCTCCTTCACAGTGCTGGGGAGGAGGGGTGAAGGGCAGGTGTTGGCACACTTGAGGGTGTTAAGCGATGAAAACCTTGCCTACACCTTGTACCAGTGCTATGTAATAACTAAGCATTGTTATTCATGTTACTACTTTCTGCAAAACCTTGATAATCAGGCTTCATGACTAGGGGGGACTAAGGGGACTTACAAGAAAGCCAGCAAGGGACTTTTTGCAAGAGCATGTAGTCATAGGACAAGGGGAAATGCCTTCAAAGTGACAGAGGGAAGGTTTAACTCAAATCGTTTTATTATTCTATGACTTTGCAACTGACCCTTGCAAACACATTGTAATATTGTCATTTTCCCATTTTTCCTACAGCAAAAAGAAAAAAACAAATTAACAAAAAACTCCCCTCACAAAAACACAAAAAAACCCCAAAACAACAAAAACATACCCCACCATCACCACTACCAACAACCAAACTAAAACTAAAAATAAAAAAAAAGCAACCCACCACTCTCCTACAAATAATTATATGCTTCATCAGTGCTACACATCATGAAGAATGTAGTTATCTATTCCTTGTGACCACTGGATCTCTGTGATTTAAAGGATGTTTCCAATAATCAGTAGGGATAATGTTGGCAGAAAACATCCACTCTGTCTTGTAAGAATAAGCTTCCAGGGCAAAGGGAAGTTCTGAAATACTCAAAATTACCTGTTTTGACAATTTTCTAAACAAAAATTTTATTTTGCCCATTCCAAGAACTTTTTGGAGATTCTATTGTTTTAGAGAATTGAAAAACCAGTTTGTACCACCTGAAATGTGACACAAGGAAGACCCTTTGGTCTCCATTACATACTCCCGTCTGCATGCAGTTGGCAATGTGAAAATGCGTATTATTGATCCCTCTTTCCAATAACAAAATTGCTCACACACATTAGCTGTTGAGTCTTACAACGAAAGGGAAGAGGAAACTAACACTCAGTGATGTTAGACAGATGTCCAGATAGGTAATGAGCTGATGGGTGCAAAGTGATTGGAGTGAAAGTTCAAAATTATTAAAATCATGGTACCTTGACTGACACAAGCCATCTGTTTTGTAGTTCCCTTAAGTTTTTTAATTTGGTAAACTCATGCAGGATGGAAAGAAGTATATAGATTGGGGAAACCTTTCCCCATCAAACACTAATTATTCGTTTCTGAATTATCAAGAGGAACTAACTAACCCCCTCATGGTCTGGGTACTCATCCATCCTGTAAGTAGGATTTTAAGCTTTTCCTTTGCTCAAGAACAAGAGGATAGCCATGAATAGCTGTTCTGGGCCGGCCTTTCTCCAACACTATTGTGGACTTTTTGGTAATTCTTAACTGTACGACTGTCAACTCTCTATTGTCAAGAGACTCCAGAAATAGCATATTATGAATATTCAGGACACATGTTAAAATAATTTTCTGGAGAGTATAGAGATGATAACAAATGTTTTTCTCAGAACATCTGTCCTTATTAATAGTTGTTATTGTCCCTGTTTATAAAATCAGCATAATGCTGTCTTCTATTCCTTCCCTTGAAAGACTGTTCAACTGACATATTATGAATCTGGAAAGAGGGACCTGTAACATACATTTTCTCATTGCTGATTGTGTATGGAATGCAACATGTAATGGAGACCAAATATTCCTTCTTATTTCTTGTGCCATATTTCAGATTGGTACAAACTGGTTTTCCAGATCTAAAAAAATACACAGTCTGCATGTATGAATGTTATAGGAACTATAAGCTAATAGTGGGAGCTAACCATGAGACAGGCAGGTGCAATTCTGAAATTCTATTTTTCTTGTAGTAAAGTATGGAAAATAATGATGACATTGTAGAAGACAGTGATGGACAAATATGGTATGTGTTTTTACTCTAGGATTCTACTGTTTAGAATCTGTCCATGTATCCAACTCCTGATTAAAATCTATTGCCCATAAAATAGATAAAATTCCAAATCTTATTCATATTTAGTTTGAGTCCATGTCAATGGAAAAGCAGCACAACTGTTGGCACAGCAGCAACCTGAAGTAAGGCTGGTATTATAAAACATACCAGCTGTGCTATAACCACAGAGTGTCTACAGGTTTTTCTGCATAAAATCTTCCATTTTCACAAGATCTTCTTCATTTTTCCATGAGGAATAAAATACTCTTAATAGTTTTCTCCTTTCAACACCATAATATCCTTTGAAGGTACTGCTGATTCTGAGCATTATATTATGAATCTTACAGTATTTGTTTCCACTTTAAAACCTCAGCTTCTTTTCTTAAGTGATTTCATGAATCGCAGGGTTTATTTTAGAGTTTTGGTGTTGGGATTTTTTTCTAATCACTTTTTAATCATCATAGTTGCAGGGAAAACATGGAAAACAAGAATTTCTAAAAGCAGAATAAGGAAATAGAAAAAGATATGATTTAAACATAATTGTTTCAGCGTTCTTTCATAAGATCTTTGAAATACTTTTTCTAATTTTTCAAACTCTGCATATTCTATGATTCCATAATAGCCCTGCTCTTCGTAAGACAAGTGTGCTAGTATTTCCATAACCTTTTCCACAAATATTTCCATGAGTTTTAAGGTAATATTTTAATGCACTTTGAGAGAGTTAATTCATTAAGAAAACAATTCCACTGTAACTTGGTATGTTTTCTGTGGTTCTGACTTTCTGATGTTTCCTGTGAATATATATGCATATGTCTATGTTTGCTGTATATTAATAGATAGAAAAAATATCACATGTATTGCTCACAGTGTCTTTCCCCAATTCCTGGTAAATGAGTGTATATTTTCCTCTATACTTTAGTAACTTTCCATACCAAGACCTCTGGTATTTTCACACAGACGTCTACTATTCAGTTTCATTTTCAAAGGATCAGATCCACCTTTGAAAGAAGTAAGAAGCCATCTGAACTTCCCTATCCAAGTATGTGTGATAATACCCCATGGCTCTTTTTCAAAAGATTTTTAAAGAGACAAGACCAAAGGATGCTAATCTTGGATCAGCTGTTGATTTCCATATGTGCTAGATCAGTCCATTGACCTCATCAGAGGCCAGCATGCAACCTCATGAAATAGCACAAACTCTGCTGAAAATTCATTGCAGATTGATAACATTGGAAATCATAGCCCTCAATCAACCTAATGCTTTGTATACATTGTCTATACTAAATCAAAATGGTACTTTTCAGACCATCAACCTGTCAGTGAGCCAGCCCTGCTCATATTACTCTCATTATGTTTGTAGAATTTTCTCCACTTGGGTTTTGTGATTCATTCCTTCTCCTTACACTGATTTTCTGTGCTGCTGGCTTTTATTTGCATTGGAGCTTTTTGGTCTAGTTTTTAGCAAGGAATTGAAGTGCCATTTGAGTGTCCATTTTACAGTTGCATTTGTTTTCACAGTTTAAGTACTTTATCATACAGACATTTATTGTTAGAAATTAATATTTGTATTTAAATTTGGAAGAAAACAGATGTGAAAGCAATGCAGTGATGCTTTAATTTCTTATTGAATATTTCAAGTTGAAATGTGATCATGGGGGGGAATCTGATAATTTTCATGTTATTCCCTACAAAATTTATAATAATTATAACATATGTATGTGCAAACACAAGTGTGTGGGTGTGGGTACATGTTGGTGGGTAAGTCAATGATGTGTTTTAAACATCAGTAAGAAAATATCCATTAAGTGTTTGAAACCAGCCTACAGAGTGGGCATTTTCTGTCACAACCACTTGGAAACATGCATAGGACATTTCCTAGAAGAAATCTACTGCGTGGTGCAATCTTCTCTTCTAAAACAGTCCAAGAGACAGTTGGGTGGGGATTCCCCTTACCCACCATTCTCTTTAGTGCCATTCATAATTGTGTGACTAAGCAAGCTAGTCATTTTTACTCACAGAAAAAAAGCAAATCAGATCACAGGTTTGGTCCTACCTGTTTTCGTCCAGCCTGCAGAACACGTACGAGAACACCAGAAAGTCAGGCATACAAGAAATTCATCGATGGATAACATTTTACTTAGAACAGAACTTCATGAGAGGAGTCTGCTTGCGAAGACTTTCCAGTTAGATTCCAAATTTAAAGTGAAAGAAGAAATACGCAAGACCTTTGCTTTTTAATAGTTAAAAAATGAAGAAGGTACTTCACACCCTAAGAACATTTCCTCTTCATCTCCACAGGAAATAAGTCTGCCTATAGAAAAGCTACTGTGAGTCAAGTGTAGATGCACTTTATTTTAAAGTTGTGTATCTTCCTTTTTCAAAGGCCTGGACTAACAACTGTGAAGGGCTCTGAATGAACACCCTCTAATCCTCTTAAGGCAATGTAAAGGCTGAACTAGCTAGTAATAACTATTTTTAAATGAAAAAAACAAACAAAAAACCGAACCGAACCAAACCAAAAACACAAAAACAAGAAAGGAGAGAACTACATTTCCGTTGCTTTTTTGAAGAGTCTAATGAGTATCTGACCCCAAACTAAGATAAAGTAAGTTTTTAAAAAGATAGTGAAGCAAACAAATATTTTGTTTCCAAAACTACAAAAGCATTATTTTCAAAAATAACAAAATACAATCTCAAGTAGCATACTTTAAAGTAATCAAAATGTAGGTACTGTGGCAGGTTGGGTTGCTAATCTTTTTTCCTAAGGAAATGAAACTTAGGCATGTCGCTGGGTATCTGTCGATCGGGTCCCGGTCCAAGGGGGGAAGAAGACACACAACACACACGAGGATGGTGAGACAAAGGGATGTCTGCCTGCTCAGAGCAGCAGGCAGCCTTTTATTAGGTTTTTCTACCTCTACTTTCTCACACATAGCACAAACATCTTTCTACACAAATACCAAGGAATGTGCACCTGCATACAGCTCAAGGCTGTGTCCATGGGGATTATCTGGTTGGCTTCACTGCTCCCATGAAAAACGGCCTAACACTCCACAATACTCCAAAGTCCTCAGACTTCAGTTGTGGGGCTGTAACTTCCCCCCACATTGTGCTGTCCAACTCTCAGGGCCGCTTCCATGGGAATAGGCAGCCGCCTCCACCTTTCTCAGGGGAACGGTCTTACTCCCCTCAATGCCTCCAGCTCTTCTGCTTCCAGGGGGCCCAGGGGTTCCATGGGCCTGCCATCTCCCCCCACATAGGCAGTTTCATTAGATGTTAATTCCTTCCTTGTCAGAAACTTCTGAGCAAAGTCAGGTATTTCTTTTGAATTTGAGAGGCTCAAAAGTCTCAGAGCTAATTAAACTCCTACCACCTTCATTAAATTTGACAGCTAAGCAACAGCAAGATTGCTCTACTGATGAGGGACTGTACGAGTATCTGGACAGACAGCACTGGCCACTTGGATGATAAAAGAAGAAAAATAAAATACTAAAGTAAAAATGTTGTGGTCCTGAGCGAGCCAGAGCTAAGAACAGTGCATGTGAAAAGAATGACAAGATCAAACTGGAAAGCCACTTGAAGCATGTTCTTTGTGACTGAAAGCAGTCACGTGGGCACGTGTAGTATGTGTGGGGATAACAAACACCTGGCCTTGTTTGATAGCTCAGACTCGTATTCTGTATATATATGGGGTAATAAAGTTACGAATTAGTTCTGCCTGGACAAAGTCTGTCTCAGCAGGGATTCATTCACAGCAATGGGCCATGTGTTCGTATTTTAAATTCTATATGAGTCAGTTACCATAAAGGGGGGGAATAGTTTTCCTAGCACCATTTTTTGGTTGTTGTGAAAGAGTATTAATTTTATTGATTATTTGAGAGTTATTAATATCTAGGAAAGTCTATATGGCAATTACGAAAAACTTCCAAAACTTATGAAAAAGAGTTGTGAAAGGAACTTTCCCCTCCCACTTAAACTAGTCTTACTGTTTCATATTAATGTGTAAAGGGCTCTAGACTCTTACTTCATCCTTCTTCTATATCTCTGGTTTGCCACATCAGCCTATTCTGTGTATTTCTGTGCAGTAAAATTGAAGGAGAAACTGTATATGTTTCACGACAGCTATTGTTGGTTTATTCTAATCTAGCTAGTGTGGATATCTGTAGCAGAGGAACCGTGACACACCAGGTTTTAGCTGTGGTGGTCTATCTCTGTCTCCATGTGCACAGACAAAGCCCTTTCACAGCTTTGCATAAGTAAATATACAAGTTGAGTTTCAACTTCAAAGGGCTCAGAATTCAGGCACACCAGCTCTGGTTTCCATCAGTGCACTTGAACTGCTCTCGCCTTTCCATAAGAGAATTTCCTTTTGGAAAACCAGCAATTCTGGTACAATAGTTGCTAAAAAAAAATTACCAAAGACATTTCAGACTGGTTTATAATTTTTTTCCTGCCCACATAAGTTAAAATGACATATCAGTGAGATACTCTACGTTAGTATGCCAATTGTTCTATACATGGCAACTTAAAACAAGTCTCCTGATCACCACTCACTGAAATTTGAGTTGCATTTGGGAGCACTCTTGGAGTCTCCAAAAATTAGTTCCTTTCAGATAAAATAAATCTGGTAAATGTTTTCAGAAACTCTCTTGGTGTTCTCCAATTGTTAACATGAGCTCAGGCCACAGGACCAGAGTAGAGCTAGTTCAAAATAATCTCAAACACAATCTGGAAGTTGGGTCCTCAATGCCAATTTTTTTAACTTACTAATCTGCTCCTATATATAATCTGCTCCTGAAATATTTAAGAACCCAACATGAATGGTCTAGTGCACCCAGCTTAGTCTCCCCAGTAGAGACTCACCCAGTATAGTCTCCCCAGCTCAAGAGAGACACTGAAAAGTGGAAGAAGATTCTACCAATGGCCTCTAATGTGATTAGAGGGTTGAAGATCTCTGCTAATGAAGAAAGACTGAAGGAATCGTGTTTGTCTGGCCACAAGACAAGAAGGTTCAGGGGTATCTAATTACAGTTTTCCACTACCCAAAGGGTAGTTACAAAGAAGATGGAGGTATTCTTTTCACACAGATGCGTGATGAATGGACAGGGTGCAACAGGCTCAAGTTGCCTCAGGAGGATCTTCAGCATACGAAAAAGTAGATGTCAGAGTGGGTTTCCCAAAGAAGTGGCAAAACTCGGTTTCAAGTATTCAACACTGGGTTTGATAGGGTCCTTAGATAACTTAATCCACTCAAAGCAGAAGGTTGGACCAGGTATCTCCAGGGCTCCTAGGCTTTTCTGTGATACTATTCTGATGAGAGCAGCCAACCCAACCACTTCTTCAAGAACCACAACAGGATAGAAGGGTCCTGAAGGACAGAGAAGAGGCCTGATCAGCAGTGACAAATGCCTCTCAGGTGTCAAAAAGGGGCATGAACTAACTTCCCAAATTCACAACAAATCAGCCCATTTAAAAACAGAAATCATCATAATGAAAACAAGAGGAGCATAAGGAAAGAAGTGAGGCTGATGCAGATTAAGAGTGGGCTGGATGTTTGTATGCATTCAAACCCCAAATTAAATAGAGAATTCATGTCAATTTTTAATAAGAACAGGGACATTAAGAAGCATTGGTAAATGTAATAGGTGAGAAAGATTATTTTGAGATTTACTGAAATAAAACACAGAAGTAAAGTCAAGATGACCGAGGGCAACAGGAATGGAAACAATCTCCTCTAAGGCAAAAGCATGAGCAGGAAGGTAGAGTTAAAGGTTCTCCCATCAAGGAAACAAACGGAAAAAATGGGCACATAAAATTGCAGTTGCATTAGAGAGAAATTTTAATCCATCCATTAAAGATTGGTAGCACTTTCAGATTGGAGAACACAAAGTGTAATAGCTGTCATTAAGAAAGGGAGAAATTACAAGCAAGGCAGAAACAGATATGTTGTCTGACAAGAGTGATGTGCAAAGTTTTAGAACAAATTATGAAATTATGAAATTATTTTAGAACAAATTTTAGAACAAATTATGAAATTATTAGAACAAATTATGAACTATTAAAGACAAGGAGGGGAAAGCGTGGGTTCAATCAAAGGCAAACTGAAGTGAGAAGAATTTGGTTTACTCAAGGATGGAATTAATAAAATAGGGAGATACATGATTGTGTGTCAGTCAGGGTGTGTGGCTTATAGTCAGAAGAAGTTGGGAGGACACCCTTTGGAGAAGGATAACAACTCCATGGTGCCATCACTCATCCCAGGCACCACCCAGGCAATGCTGCAATAGAAATGGATGCTATGAATGTTAACTGGGCAAGGTGTTCCCAGAAGATTGAGGAAGGGAGCAATGCCAATGTACAGTTGTGTGTTAACCCAGTGCTACAGATTAGTTCAAGCAAGAAATGGTCCAGAAAACAAGTAGAAAGCTCCTGTTTTATAAAAGAAGTCTAGAAGAGTTTGCCTTGTTCAACTTCAGATAAATAAAGGTTGAGAAAAAAATCTAATTGTTATCTGAACTACATTAGAGTGGGTAAACAGCAAATTCAGTAAGTGATGTAAGATAACAGAATAAACTGATATTAGAGAAAATGTCTATAAACTGTCTGTGAGAAAATTTAGACCAGAAATTAAAGACTTCTGGCAATGAGTGTGAAGCTTTGCAACAACCTTTCCAAATAAACAAAGAAGGATTCATAGGTACAAAACTTCAAATCATCTCGTTCCAACCCTGTGCTCGGTATCTGCAGGATGTAACTTATAAAGAAACTTAGACATTTCATTTACAGTCGTAAAAGTGATCATTTGTACCAGTTGGTCTGGTGAATGGCTGTCTTATTTCAGCTAGTTAGCTAGTTTCAGGTTAATTGAATTTCCTGATTTTAATACTGAAGAGTATAACATTGCTGTGCTTTCTTCTGTCTTACCAAAGAAACATAGCGTATCTTATGAAGTCAGTTCTGTAGATGAACTACAATCTGGTTGATTTTTTTTTATCTTCCCTCTCATGAGTGGGATTGAACTGATCTGTTTAGTGTCTTGTACCAGAGGGCACATTTTCTTATGACTCTTCCTTAAATCCTTTGCAATATTCCAACGTTTCAAAGAAATGAAAAGCTGGAGCAGAATATCAGTAGTGAAACCACATGCAGAAATTACTGCACTCTGTTTCCTCTCAGTAGTCGTCACTCATGGGTGAGTTGAGCACCTATGTTTGCTTTATTTGCCATACTACAACACATGCAATTTATAACAATTCTTCAGTTTTTTTACACTCAGTGAAACACTTATTCTGGAGTCGAGGTCTGGGAAACTCTTTAATAGATTGCAGTTATCCAGTACGTTAGTGTGGCCTCCTCCCTTCCTTCTATAAAACCTTCCCCAAAGAGTTACTTGTTTTTTCTCTATGCAGAAGAATAAGCACCAGAATCTTGCTTCCCATGGTCTGAAATAAGATTGTGCTGAACTTATCTATCAGTTGAGTATGGTTCATGTCAGAAAGATGTTTGC